AGATACAGATACAGATACAGATACAGATACAGATACAGATACAGATACAGATACTTCATTCTTTCACAGAAAAGAAAAAGAAAATCAATTTGTTAAGCTAGTAGAGGAATCGCTGTCAATGCTGGCAGAGGGACATGCTTATAGTCTTCCCTCTTGCTACAGGGAGTGACAAAAACTATTTGCAAGGATAACAGGCAGGTGCCTGTTGTCCCGTTGTCTTGCTGTTCCGTTGTCCTGCTGTTCGCTGTCCGTTGGGTGTTGCAACAAAATGACTTTTCTTGTTGCTTGCCAAATGATCAAAGCATTTTATGCGCTTTAACTCGTTCGAGCAGCCCCGCCCACGCCGCCCACTCCGCTGGGGCTGGCTGTTTTTGTGCTGCATGCAGCTGTAGCAGTTTCCGTTTCCGTTCGGCTGCCACTTGACTTCCGTGGCCATGTTTTGCATGTCGTCACGCGCTCGTCCTGCACTTTAGCTGCACTTATCTTGGCCCAGTTGGCAATTGTTGTTGGCCATTTTGTAGCCGTTTTGTCGAAAATGTCAACAAAATGCGAACGCAGACACACATTAGCCATAGATATCCGTCTGTGTGTCTGTGTCTGTGAGTGTGTATCTGTTTCTGTTTTTTATGTGCGCTTGCCACATCATCAATTACACATTTTACAACTTCTGACTGACTGTCTGGGGGACTGGCTGGCTGTGGGGAGCTCCCGACTAGGCAAGGACGTGCTGGAGCCACTGACAAAACAGACATAAATCAAACATTTCCCACGTTGCGAAACAATTTCCGGCTGCATGAAAACTCAAGACTGTGTGTGTGTGTATGTGTGTGTGTCTGTCTATCTTTTTGCTTGAATTTTATTTATGGCATCCGCCGAAACAGAAACACATATAGATACGCTGTGAGAGACAGACGGACAGACAGACAAACGAACGGACAGACACATGATATATAGACAAAATGACTTCAGTTAGAAAATTTACAATTGCTTTTACTTGATACATAATTGTTACTGTTGTTGTTGTTGTTGTTATTCTTATTTGTTGTTGTTGTTAGCTGTTTTGGCGCTTTTGTATTGCAGTTTGATTTGTGGTTTACAAGCTTTTGTCTGGCTCATAAATTTAGCTTATAGATTGTGGCTATTTTTGCATGTGTATGTGTATGTGTGTGTGTGCAGCTGGTTGGCTTAATGGTCACTGATATGGGGTCAACAAAGAAAAATATATGGCATTGCTTATTGAAATATGAAAGGATACATAAAATGGGGGTTTACGCTGCGTATGCGTAATATGCAACGTCCCAGAGAAATGTGCCACATTGCGTATACGTAACATGCAATGTAATTAAATCGGCTTCAATTGCAATTTGTTATATTTTGATCTAATTGAATTTGGCTCGACTCGATTGTGGCTGCCATTTGTCACAGACCCAGCGCAGACTTTGGCCAAGTTGAAGTTGTGGCTTATGGACTGCCGCTTGCCCCTGCGCTCGCTGCAGCCCTGCGCACACTTGACCCTTAGTGCGAAGCCACCTTTTGAGGATTGCCAATTTACGCTTTATACACGAGTCTCGTTCGGGCCATTTGCGACAAGCAACGCAGGCAGTCAGGCGGTGAGGGGGAGTGGCAGGCGAAGGGCAACCCAGAACCGATTCAATCAAGCCGAACCGAGGCGCTCACAGCGCACAGCTGCTGCTAATAGAACTGTGGATAAGCTGGAGGTGAGCATATTGATAGCCCAGATACCCTGTTTATTTGCTATAAAATGGGCATAAACGGTATGCACATGAGGCCTAAAGAGCAACGAATGAGTGCTACTTAAGTGAATGACTTTAAGGGCAGCCAGCGTATACCCTGCATATACCAGAGAGCAGTCTTAACTAATCTCATTCAAATTATATAACTACAATTATTTATAATATATTTAAATTCCCATGAAATCTATGAAATTTAACTATCATAATATCATCAGTTCATTATGAATTTTAATAAAATTATCTGCAACTTTTTCTGTGTCTTGCTCTTGAGACTTAATTTTAAGATCTGTTTAATAGCAATTCTCCATCCACTTATGATCCGCCTTGTGCAGGGTATTTAATTGCTGTCATTTGTTTTGTTCATTATTTTCATTATTGGTCACATTTTATGATTGTTCTCTTGCTTGAGTCCCACACTCAACCTCAATGCCGACTCGACTGGCATTTGTGGCATGCAGCATAATTTAATATGCCCTTTACTCGGCTTCAGGGCTCAGTTTTATGTGCGACGAGTACCTTGACGCCCTGGCCCTGGCTATAGCTCTGACCCTGGCTCTGGCCTTGGCTCTGGCTATGGCTCTGGCTATGGCTGTGGCTGCGGCTATGGCTCTGCCTTTTCTTATTGTGCTGCTTTATGTGTTTATTTGGCTTGAAAGGGTTTTCCGTCGCAGTCGCCGCAGACCGTTTGTCTCTTTCTTGCCTGCTGCTGAGCGCTTAAATTATTTATTTGACGTATTTTGGGACAGGCTTTGAGTAATATTATTATGATTTTTGTGCCCCAGCATATGGCATATGCCGCCAAGGGTCTAGCACATAAATTATGACCACTTCGGCTGACCCCTGAATCCAATCAGAATGTCAGCAAAATATTCACAAATAAAAGAACGTTCCCAAAACTGTTTTCTCGATTAATAAAACTTAGCTTTTGTGTGAGTGAAAGGCAGCTGAAGTGGTAGAGAAATTTGAGCGTTATTATGTCTTGGAATTTCCCATAATAATCTCATTTAATCTATTGAGAAAATGAAATGAAATTGAAAACATTTCATGTTTTTTTATTTTTCTTGACAATCTCATAACTCTGACCAAATCAAATGCTGGAATGTCTAGCCCGAAAAAGGAAAAACTAGTCTAAGTGCCACTTCATATGTCCTTTGCTGACAAACAATTTAATTATTCATTGACCTCATTATTTGCACATGTTGCCAATTAAAGTGACGGCAACAACAACAACAACCGAATCGAATCGATATCATAAACTATCAATAAATAATGCATTTAACAATATTAAGTGTAGGCCACTTGAATAAATGTTCATGAATAAATTTATAAATAGGCCAAGAGGAAAGGAATTTGTCATGACTGAAGGAAGGCAAACAAAAAGCGAGCTTGATTGCCTTTGTGAAGCGCATAGAGAGGCAGTTGGGGCGAGAGCGGCAATCCAGTTATGTTATTTCTGGCAGTTGCAAGTTGATTTTCTCCAAATTTATTTGCCAACTAAGGCAGAAGGACAATTCATTATGACAAAATTTAACATAACTGAGAGTAAAGGCAGATGGAGATAGAGATAGTGTGTGCACTGACTAACTATCTCTGTCTCTCTCACTCTCTTTATTTGCATTTTTGTGTCTGCTGACTGCTCTTAAGGCCCCCAGCCTAGACGGAGGACATGCGTCTCAGCATCTCCAATGCTAATGTTTATTTTAATTGCCAGCAAGGACAGGCCCCCAAGGTTAACTGTAACAAGAAGTAAGCCGAGCACCTCGACTCGCCTGCATCTGGTAATTTAGGGGGCCATCTCTGCAGCGAGACAGAGAGAGAGAGATGCACAAAGAGAAAGGCAGCGAATCGGAGATGTGTGCGTCGCATAAATTAGCAGCTAGTCGCAATTGCGTATGCAAATTAAATTTTATATGCCACAACGAATGACATTTAAATCATAATTCAAGTCCATTCGTTATTTATTGCAACTGACCTCTCCCATATTATATTTGCTGCATAATGCATGTGCTCGAGTGGAATGTTTGCTATATTAAATTAGTTGAAAAGCAAAATCATGTTAGAGAAGAGCCAAATGCATTCAAGAATTTCCATATAAATTCTGTTTGATATGGGGAAAACTTATGGGCGGAATTTTGCCATATACAAGAATTAAATATAGGGAGCAATTTAGGTATACACTGGGATTAACAAAATGTACATAAATTAAATTTTAATAATAAAAATAATACAAAAACTATATTTTTAAAAATTATGATAATTAAAAATAGAAATAATTTGTATTTTTATATAGATATATTTTTTTTAATTTTAGATTCTGTTTCAATAAATTTTTTTTTTTATTTTTTAAATTTTTATTTTGTATTTTAATCTTGTTATATAATACTATTAAAATTAATTTTAAATATAATTTATTTTTGCATTTTCTCTGAGCTACTAATATTAATAAAATTCTAAAATTTATGGCATGCTTTAGATATTTAGAGAACCATTTGCTACCCATATCTGAAATGGCTGTGAGGCATCAGCATAAATTTATGTCGGGCAATAAAATCGCCACAGCATTGCCTTCAAACGCATTCACATGCTCACATTCTCAATTATTTATTCCCAATTAAAGAAAATTAACCTAAATTTAACCAAGGCCTTGCCTAGCCTAAGCTTAGCTCCAAGTAAATTTTGCTGGCAAAGACTTAATTAATTTGCTGAGCGATTGACGTGAGGCTGACTGTCAAGTGCAGCGCACAAAATGAACTGCAAGGACAGCCTCGGCTAGCTAGCTAGCTAGCTGCAAGGATAATTGAGAGTGACAAACGAAATAACAGGCCAATAGCCAGAGACAGCAGCAGGAACTGCGACTCCTGCTAACAGATTTATGGCTCGCAACATGGAAAACTGTTGAGCAAACATAAAATATTATAAAGCTCGGGTAATTTCCGTTCACTATGATGAAAGAGAGAGAGACAGAGTGAGAGAGAGAGAGAGCTGTATTGGAGGCCTCAAAATGTCCATCAAAACGTCAGCAGGCATAACTGTGGCAAAAACTGATAAGATATGAAAAGCAATTTACGTAAACTGTCAACGACAAATTCCCTTTGGCAGGGAACAGGAGCGGGGAGCGGGAAGCAGTGGAATTAAATTATCAAGCTCGTTTCACATGCGTTCTATAACATATTTATTTGTGTGGGCATTTGGCATATAATCCTCGTGTCACTCACAGTTTCCGCTGGCCCTGACTAATGGATGCGCCGTATGATGTGGTCGAAGAACATGCAGTCCCCGTAGATGCTCGACCTGTAGACATTGCGGATGGCGTTCCGACTCTCGCTGCAGCAGCAGCCGGCATTCACGCAGACCACCTTGAGATCGCCGCGATGCATCATCAGCAGGCTGTGGGCCCCGTTCGGGACGACGCGAAAGTTGTCGCTGTCGTTGAAGCGCACCTTGTTCGAGTACCAGTCGAAGTAGCTCAGGTCGTGCGGCCTTGGCACCAGCTTCGCCTTGCCCTCGTATATGGCCTGCCAGTTGACATACTGCTCGGAGTTCCTGCAGTTCGACTCGCGCAAGCTCTGCTCCAGGTCGATGTAGCCGGAGATGTCGAAGCCCTTGTGCGAGCGCGTTATCATGAAGACAATGGTCTGCGAATATGGAATGCGATCTATTATATATGCTGTTAGTGATTGATTGAACTACTTCGACTCACCGCAATCTGTTTGTTGATCAGCTTCAGTTCGCGTTGGGCAAACTGCTTGAGGACCTCATCGTCGCCCTTGTAGTTGGCGCCGTAGAGCGTGGAGCCGCCCGTGCCACGGGGATTCCACATGAACTCGAGCTTCTTGCGCTGCTCGGCGAACTCGGAACGGCTCAACAGGGGACCCATGCAGCTCTTGCCACAGGCCGTCTGAATGAATTGCCTGCTGACGTTCCAGTTGCGTATATAGCGAACATCGTTGATGTTGATAAACTGGTCCAGGTACTCCTCATACGAGCCATAGTTCAGCAGCGTCATCTCGACCTCGAACTGTGTCCAACCTCCAGCGAAATTAATCAATGAGCAATGAGCGAAAAGCACAAAAAGCAAAATATGAAAAGCTCAACTCAAAAGCCAAAATAATATAATATTCCCCCAAAAACTGACAGCAAAATCATTGCTGAAAGGCAAACTTTCCATGCGATCTTGTGTATACCGCATATAAAAATAATTAAATATACACACGCACACTTACACACACACACACACACACACACACATATACACACTCACACACACTCACAGTGATTCGCTCGTGCTGCAAATTTAATAAATGGAAAAAGTTTACAATGCCTCGCCAAAAGTTCTGCATATTTTCAATTACAGTTTTCTATGTGCGACGCAGACTGACGACACACACACACACACATCGTCTCTCTCTCTCTCACACACACACACATACACATACATATTTAAATACACATTTTGCCTGCCCATATGCAACTAATTACTTCATCAACATTTAAAGCCGTGCGGCAGATGCAATTTTTCATTTTCTTTTCTTTACCGTTAACAACTTTTCACTATATTATTCAGTTTCGCTAAAAGGTATTAATGGGTATGCACAAGGCTGCAACGTGTCAGCAGAGTATGTAAATCAGATAGTTAAAGATTTTTTAAAGCAAAGGGTATTTGGAGCGTAGTAAAAAGTGAACGCTAAGAACTTTGATTATATAGAAAGCGAAATTTTTACAATAATATGCATATCTACAGTTATAAGTCATTAAACTTTGCCAGATTACAGGCTATATTCAAGTCTAAATTTGTATAAAAATATTTGCTTTCGCGCTTCTCTAACGAATTACATTAAAGTGTATGCTATTTACAGGGTATGGCAAGTGTCAATCTTGTTCTCCAGTTTCTCTTTTTATACGGCATTTGCAGCTCCATTTGCAACAACAAACTTTTGATAAGTCTGTTTTTTCTACTGCATATTTTCAGGCATTTTACAGGGTATATGTCAACAGCATCATCCTATTAACTTACCAATAAAAACCAGCTTTGATTTTTAGATGATATTTTAAAGTGTATTCCCATTAACAGTCATTTTCCTCATACAGACAGTGAGTAGTCTAACAATTGCTGAGTTTGCTTAGTCTACAGGGTATCTCAATTGCAAGTACCTAAAATACAAATAGTCAAATGGATTTTTTGAGAATATCATAAGGTCTGTTAAAAAGAATAAAATGTTTTCAATGTTAGTTGATCACACCCGATGCCATTTACAGGGTATCTAAAGTGTCATTCACTGGAAATATTTCACGTTGTTGCCTTCTTACTTATTTTTAATTTTAATACAATAAAAAGAAAATAGTAGAATGCAAGCTGAAAACGTTAGTGTGTGTGTGCGTAGGTGTGTGAGTCTGTGTGTGTGTGTGTGAGTGAGCATTCACGCTATTTAAACACGATTCCCACTGTTTGCTGCAGTTGTTGCTGCTGTCGCTGCTGCAATTAACATGCTGCTGCTGTTGCTTGTGCTGCTGCGACAGTTGCTCCTGCTGCTGCTCCTGCTCCTCCTGCTGCTGCTGCTGCCAACACTTGAAGCTAAATCTAGCAGCAACCATGACGATGTCGCCGACTCCTGCTGCTGCTGCTGCTGCTGCGTGCTTTGTCACCATCTTGCAGTCGTCCGCCGCCTCCTTCAGCGCGTAAATTGCTACTTCGCGGGGGCAGCAAGTCTCGCCTCCTCTCTGCTCTTCTTCTTCTACCTCTACTTCCAGCTGCACAATTTTCACTTCAGAGGGAAGTTGGCTCGGTGAGGCGACGCCATTGTTTGACTTGGTCATTAGTAAATGTACTTTGTCGTAGCGTAAAAAGGAGTTAAGTGCGCACTCTAAGGATTTATGCGAGTCTCAGCTTATGCCACAGTGTGTGTGTGTGTGTCTGTGTGTGTGTTGGCTACTAGCATGGGGCAGCATTAAATGCCAGCAGTTGCCATCAGAATGCGTTAAGTGCGCATTTCTCTTCAATGGACACAAAGGACGTTTGGCAATTCAAAGGACTGTGATTCAGATTGAGCTAGAGCTTCAGCTACACTTATGCATATTTATGGTCATGATAGACTATATGCTTATGAAATGCAATCACAACATCTGAGACTATCTATGCAGCTCCAAGACAAATTTAAATAAATATTGATTGAGCTATGAATGATATGAGAGTAACTTGCATAGCATAGCACGATATTCCTACAATCCTACAATCTATTTATAAATGTTTAACAAACTTATCAGGAATTGTTTACATACGTTTAACAAATTTATCAGGATTTTTTTTACATATTAAGCTAGAAATTGAGACATGACAAGACAAGTATAACATAGAGTGTAGAGCATATAAAAAAAGTATATACCATCGCAAAATTTTGACTAGTTAGGTGAAGAGTATTTTGATTGGAATATCAGCTCGGAGGGTGCAGGGTATCTCGTAGTCAAGCAGTTTCGACTAGAGCTTTCTTTCTTGTTTTTTTTTTTTCTTATCACATTGTTAGATAACTTACTTTATTTTAAAGTGACAATCATATATTTCTATTTACCACACCATGGCCTTAATATTTTTTTAATTTTTACTGTATAAGGTACTCTTATTAACCGTTGCACGACTCTACCTCGAGAATTTGTTAACAGATTTTAGACCCAACTAAGCACTTGGTATGATATTAACTTGAGTATCCTTCAGAGAAAATTATTATTTTTGATTCATGATATTCTATCGAATTCATTCAAATGCCAACAGCCCAGTTTCAGCCTACATAGGCGATGACTATCGCCTAAACTAATTGACAATTAACCAACAGCACATGAGCTAAAGTCATTCTCACATAGAGCCCCTTTCCCCTTTCCCCCCATTCGATTTCCGTTTGGTTTTGAGCAGCACAAATTATCGAATTGCTGTCGTAAATTGCACAGAGAACGTCGCTCGGCTTCCCACTTGCCGTACGTCTTTGCCAATGAAATCAAAGCCACATAAATTGCACAAATAATTCAGCGCCGAGAGCCGGCTCGCTCCCCCAGCAGCTGCCCCTACCGGCAGTAGCTCAAGCTCAATTGCAGCGAACGGCGAGTGCAGCTGCAGACAAAGGCAGAGCCAAAAGAATCGTCACTTACAGCTGACCGCAATGCTAGCCAATCCAGGCACAGAGAGTGAGAGAGAGAGGGAGAAGGAGATAGCCTGAGAGTTAGAGTGGAGCACTATGTCTGTTGGCCGCAATCGATCAAAAGGAATTATGTCTCAACACAATTGTAAATAAATCTTTGCGGTCATGTGGACATTATGTGCATGTGGAGGCCAAAAGGCTTGGCCATATCCTAGCTCCAACCACAGAGACCACTCACACACACACACACACACGCATACATAGACAGAGGCATGTGGCTAAACCCTGCATATCACATATATGAAGATTGAGTGGTAATGTGTGCAAATCTAACCTCTTCGAGCTGAGCTCCTACTCCAACTGCCACGCCCCACTACCTCTGCCACCCCCCCCTTTCCATAGACTTCTGCTGCTTCGTTGTCCTTGTGCCTGGCCGTTGACATGTTGGTAAATTGGTCCTTAGCCGATTGCATCGATTGCCGTTACAGCGCAGACAACGAGTCTATGCTCCCACATTTGGCTCCCAGTCCGGCCCGCCGCTCAGCATTTTGCCAGCTTGGGAATTAAGTCTAAATGCCGGAAATTAATCTGCTCGCCGACTACAAATGCAATATTATTCAATGTGATTTTACAAGTGTCCTTGTCATTAGGAAACTGCCTCGCCTCGCCTCGCCTCGCCTCGCCTATGACTGTGCCTATGCCTATGCCTATCCCGGTCCTTAATGGCCCTGCGGCCCAGTCCGGCCTGGCTTTGGTCCAGAGTGCAAAATTTATAATGCGCATCGATAATGATTTGTTATTTAAAGCTCAAACAAATATCCGGCAATTCGAGCGTGGAAAACCCAAGGAAATACAATTTGAAAATAAAAAGGAAAATCCCACTCAAAGTTCGCGCTGCTGTTGTCTGCTTATCACGTGGCACGCGAAAAACCACAAGAAACTTATCGGCATATAATCAAGAGACGACGACGACGACGGCGACGTTGCTGGATTCGAGTTTGAGAATGTGAATCATTGCCCAAGTTCTTTTTTATTTCCATCTCAATTTTTCTTTTTTTTTTTTCCTTTGGGTTGTACATTAATTTGTTTTTGCGGAGAAATGCCTGGGGCTTTGTGCAATCAGCACGAGGATGTGCCGCGGCCAGCTGTCTTGGCAACAAAGCCTTTTGATGCTGTCGGGGGAAATTTGGGAAATTCGATAGCAGGAAATGAATCGGTCGACAGCGCGGCGTATGTGCAACGCGTGGCAGCAGTCGCAATAGCCGCAGCCACACCAACGCCACCAAACCAAGATAAGTGAACAGCCATTTAGTCCTTTGGGACGCGACAGGCAGGAGTGGCACGAGCAGCAGGAACAGCAGCAGCAGGAACAGTAGACGAAGCAGCAGTCGCTGTAACTGAAAACAGATAAGCGAGTTCTCACATTCACTTTCAAACAATTTTCAACAAACATTTTCCTTCTCCTCTTCTCTTTTTTTTATACTCATTCACGAAGTGAATTATTATACTCATTCACGAAGTGAAT